GATACTTCCAATCTTACGCGGGAGAAAACCCGAATAACCAAAGATATACACACACACACACACACACACACACACACACATATATACATATATACATACATACATACATACATACATACATACATACATACATACATACATACATACATACATACATACAGCGTGTTTCTCATATAATAAGGCTGGGACTTATTTTTTTTTGAGCCCTGAAAAAATGGCTAGGACATCTTTTTGGGGGTGAATTAATTTCTTTCTCCCCCCCCACGCACCCTCGCCTAGGGTGCCCCACCGGCAGTTATGCCTCACCACCAGCCACCCCTAACGGCCAATCATGGTGGAGCATGGAGGGTTCCCTTACCCCCACCAAGTGCTGAAACCCGGGTCAGCGGGAGGGCAGGGATGTCTGCTGGCAGCGTTTCAGCCGCTTCTCCGTAGCTACCACAGTTCCCATCGGTGCTGGCATCTCTCTCGCCAGCGCCGTCTCCAACAACAGCATCTGAGTCACTCCCGCTTTTCCCCCGATCCCATAACAGGGGGAAAAAAACATTTTGAGGTACCTGGGAGTGCCGCATGCTATGTTTTGGTTTAATCCCAAGCGGCTGGGTGGGCGTGAAAAGAGCCGAGCGAGCGTCTCTGTTGCTGCTACCCTTGGTGCTCCAGCCTTGGGCTCTGCAAGTTTGCAAAAGTCCCAGTGCACAGCCCGTTCCTGCATTCCAAGTGCCCACGCCGAGCTGCAGCTGTCCCTCTCTCACCAGCACCGTCTCCAACAACAGAGGCAGCAGCGGCAGAAACCATGGAAGTTACGGAGGTGGAGAAGCGGCTAAAACGCTTCCACGGTTCCCACCGCTGCTGCCGCTGTTGTTGGAGACAATGCTGGTGAGAGAGGGACAGCTGCAGCTCGGCCTGGGCACTTGGAATGCAGGAGCGGGCTGCGCACTGGGACTTTTGCAAACTTGCAGAGCCTGAGGCTGGAGCACCAAGGGCAGCAACAGAGACGCTCGCTCGGCTCTTCTCACACCCACCCAGCCGCTCGGGATTAAACCAAAACGCAGCACGCGGCACTCTTAGGTACCTCAAAATGTTTTTTTTCCTGTTGTTACGGGGACGGATGAAAAGAGGGAGCAACTCAGACACTGTTGTTAGAGACAGTGCTGACGAGAGAGGCGCCAGCACCGGTGGGAACTGTGGAAGCTATGGAGGCCTGAGAAGCGGCTGAAATGCTGCCGGATATCCACGCTGACGCCGCCCGCCTGCTGATCCAGGTCTGCAGCAAAGGCACTTGGTGGGGGTAAGGGAGCCCTCTGTGCTCCACCATGATTGGCTGTTAGGAGCGGCTGATGGTGAGGCGTAGCTGCCCGCGGGGCACTCCTAATGGCAAGTTCCCCCCCGCCTTCCCCCGCTCAATTTCGCATGTTTTAAACTAGGCCTAAATTTGGGGGGAGGGGCTTAATTTCATTTTATGCCTAGAAAACATGCTGGGTCTTCCTATTGGGCAGGGCCGTGTTATTGGAGAAACACGGTATATATGTATGTGTATGTGTGGATAGATAGATAGATAGATAGATAGATAGATAGATAGATAGATAGATAGATAGATAGATAGATAGAGATAGAGATAGAGATAGAGATAGAGATAGAGATAGAGATAGAGATAGAGATAGAGATATATGTTGTGGCTCCAGGCTTGGATTCAGCTCCTGTGGCTGATATGAGTTCAAGTGAGGAGGACATGGCAGAAAATTATGAGCCGGCATGGCTCAGTGATTGGAATAGTAACCAGGATGAGGAGATGGATGTGACAAAGGAAAACAGACCTGAGGTATTAGAATTGTCAGGACCTTTGACCTCCTCTGGTTCCTTATCTGATCAACAGCCGGGAATGGCTGACAGGGAAGTTTTGAGAGAGTCTTCTAGTGGAGATGAGAACTTGGAAAACTTGTGGTTAAATGTAAGGAACAGTTAGAACGAAGGAGGAGGGTGAGTCAATAATTAAGGAAATTAGCACGTTGCCTCAATGAGTATAAAAGGACACAGCTGGGCTGGTAAAATTTGCCAGGAACAAAGTGACTTATTGCGTGAAGACATTACAGCAGAAGCTCTGAGGCTTGAGATTTTTTGCCAGGACTGGTTTGCCGAACAGAGCAAAGATTGTTGCTGTGGATTGTGATTTATGACAGCCGTTATCTTGTGAGACTTCTTTCTGTTTGATTTACTTTTGAAACGGCTGCTTTCTGTTTTGCTCACTTGAATTTTGAAGGGGAGTCATAACAGATATAGATATTTGTTTTTGTAGATTTTCACGGGTACAGGTATGTAGATCTAGGTGTGTTCGGGTCTTTTCCCGTGTAAGATTAAGAGTATCTTGGCGACATTTCGGCAAGGTCCCACTTGCCATCTTTAGGCTGGTGCTTTCGGCTGCTTGCACTGGCACGACTGCTTGCACTGCCACGAAGCCGAAAGCACCAGCCTGAGGATGGCGAGTGGGACCTCGCCGAAATGTCACCAAGATACTCTTAATCTTACACGGGAAAAGATCCAAACACACCTAGACCTACACACACACACACACACATATATATATTTGCAATGAGCCTGTAAAAACAAAGGTAGGAGGAGACAGTATATATTCCTGACTGCCCTCAGGGTTATGATTAGGCTGACATAATGCTAAGAAGAGGTTTATTTTAAAAACATTTCTGAAAGAAGCCCCAATTGCGTGAATAAGCTGACTTTAATTCATTTTATTTACCAGAATGCATCTTGTCCTGTAGATAATTAACTTGAAAGAGATGTGTGAGAAAGTGTGGTCTCTGTGTTCTTTCTTTCAAGCCAGATTAGTAACCTCTCCCCATGTTCTTTTCAATTAGCAAACCTCTCGGGCAAAGCAGAAGGCTACACTTTTGAAATTTTGAATTGAGGGGTGGCAGTATAGGTGGAGGAAGATCCTAATCATTCCATAATTGGAATCTTCAAAAAAGTTATCCCCCTCCCCACAAGCACTAAACTGGTAGACACATTTTTCATGAACTACTGTGCCGTCTATTCTTCTGATCATAGCATGATAAGAAGGAAATAAGATATTTTCAGGGGTGATCCCATTATTTCCTATGGCTAAAACACTCAAAATATTTCAAGGTGTCTTTCCATAAAATAAGAAACTGGATCAGATTGTGTTCTGGAAAAATACAGACAACTCAAAATGTTGAAACTATTAGTAGGCATATTCCTGTGTAATGTTTAGTTAATCTTAGCACTGGTTATGCTTGATGAGTTGGAACTTAGTACAGAAGCTACTTCTATGATATCAACTTAAAACTTAAAAAAAATTGTGATGACTCATTTTCAGCAGTGTATCCTTACTGGATTAAAAATCAAGCAGTTTCAGACATCTATGAGGTAATATTATTAACACGATTTGCTATAATTATCTAAGAACCTGCAATCTTGAGATATACTTCTACATAGTAATTTTAGTTTTAATAAGCTAAATACTCGTAATAGCTAGAGACATTCAACAGTATTTTGACAGAGCATCCCAAATTTAACTGCAGATAATGTTCCAGAACATTGCTGTGGGAGAATGACTTGGCCTTCAATTATTCTTAAAACTTGAGATAATATTTCAGATTTCCACCTACAGGGTGAAAAGATGTTGACACAAATAACAGCTGTCCTTCTCCATTATCTGAGAAGCCCAAGGCTAGGAGGTAAAGCCTTAATTATTTTGGTTAATCTCCAAACAAATATCAGTCACAGTACATTCATCAGTAAATGGAAAGGTCTGGTTTCTGTCCAATGTAGTCACTATTCCACACACAAACTTTATTACATCTATATTCTTCAATTATTCATAGCTCCCATTCTATTCTTTCTGAATAAAAACTATATACTTCTTATCTTCCAGTATAAATAAGTAATAAACATTAATTACCTCTTTAGGTAAAGATAAAAGTTTATTTCGGTCAACATTCAATATATTCAGCTTCTTTAGTTTTCCAATGCTCTTTGGCAAAGTCTGAAACAAAACGTCAGCAATTAATATTACCAGCATTTCAAAGTAAGTTGTGGAAAGCAAGCAGTGAGCTAATTAATATGCTAAAACTTTTTAAATAGAATGATGTTTAAAGGTCTTGAATTCTAAGATGGCCAAAAACTTTACTAAAAGGAAACAAAGTAACAATGAATTTCAGATGTCTGAGATTTTAAAAGTTCAAAGGATATATGATTAGTATTCTCATCTGTACTGACCTACATCTCAGGATTATTCGTACAATTGCAAAACCCTTGTGAGGAACTGAGTTAAGAAGTATTTATTTTAAAAGAGGGTCACATCTAGTTTGGGGCAATTTCTCACTGTTTCAGAAGCCTCTTATCCTACATGGTGATGGTCCTCATTTTCCAATTAGTATTTTTGATGTTTCAGAGATCAATAGTGAAGGCTACGTATGCTTTTTCTCCACTCACAGGAGAACAAGAAAAATGAAGGTAATTCACATAATAAGAAAGAGATCCATGGTTATTGTACTCATAAAAACACATTATTGCAGATTACATAGTATTGCTACTGTGATTCTTTCCTGCTCTCAAAGTATTTGCTTATTCTGGAACAGTGGCTAGGAAATTAGACTCAAGCTAGAGCAATGTACAGTATAATAGAGAGAGAACAAATTACAGCCTTTATTTTACTATTACATCTTGTTCTAGCACACTGCAAAGCAAACATCTGGTGTTCCATTTTTACTACTCCCATTCTTCACCTTTACAGGTTTTAATTCCTTCTTCTTCCCCATTTATTAGACAAATTCTTCCATAACCGTATCCTACAAAGGGGATAAAACTACTTCTTAACTCTATCACTGACCTGGAATCAGCAAAATCTGCTGCAGCAAATGAATAGCCAATTTGCTGATATGATCAGGAAAGATCCATCAATATTAAACAAAAAAAAAATTATGGAACATACACAGGGGCAAATGACAATTTGGCAATTGTCAGAAAGACTTCGGATGAATAAGAATGATTAAAAGCCATTCAAGCAAACTCAGAGCCCAAAACTGAAACTCAATCTCTATATCCACTACTACTACTTCAAATGAACTATTATAGCTTTATTGTTTCTATTAGAACTGAATTACATTTTTAAAAATAATTTTAAAATATAGAAAAGAATGTTACCATATGTTGAACAAGACAAATGAGCTTATGATATACACACATCATCTGTCCCTTAAACCTCTGTAAATTGGCGAATCCTACGAAATCATTCAGGTTGATTAAATAGCAGTACTGGCATGTAAGAAACCAGGAATGTGAAATTCACTGAGATTGGAATGTTTGATTCCCATTCCAGCTCATACTGTTTGACCACAGCCAGCAAATTACTTCTATCACTGTTTTGTTGTTTTTTTAACATTCTGGATTATTTTTTCTTCAAAACCAATGCTTTTAAAACCAGTCAGTTTTTAAGACATATTATCCATTTTAATTAAGGTCTTTCTCATTTCCCTCCAAAATCAGCTGGGACAGATTTTTCCTCTCTGCAGTTATTATTTACTATTCACTTGGTGGGATTTCCTTCTGGGAAAGCTGTTACAAAACTATCAGCCAATCTTTATTATTTAAATTACTAAATATTCATTAAATTTCATAAATTACATTAAGAAGGACTAGAATATTTAAAATTGAGAGAGATTATTGGAGAAAACCAATGTCAGCCCTGGATCCATATTGAACATAATTTAGCATGCCAGCATCTTACTACAGTCTGTACAATCCTCTATTAGGTCTTATACTTAGTTATCACATTTTCCATAAATTTGATTTATCCTCTACAACACTAATCTTTGCTGGATAATTTGTTATGACAACCAAATTCAAGTGAAACCTGTTTTGAAATGGATTTCATGCTTGTTTGTCTGACATTTTGGTCGACTATAACTTCATGGTATTCAACACTGTGCTTAAAATGCATCTTGACAAATTACAGTTCATTCATTTTGTACTTCATTGTAATTGTCATAAGGTCTTAAAATAAAGATTCTGCAGTCAAAATAAATCAAGCATGCCATTCTCACTCAATGCCAACATTTGAAGAGCTAACAACATACTTACCAGCAGCTGATTTTCTGTAAGAACTAATTCTGTAAGACATTCACAGTTTCCTACAGCTTCTGTTAACTGAGTAAGCCTATTCTGGTCAACCTTCAAGATGGATAGCTTTTTTAACTTTCCTGTGGACACAAAAATGAGCCTTTTAAAAAGCTGTAGACAAAACAAAACTAGTGACCCTAACTGCAGCAAATATAAACTATTTAAGGAGAAAACAATCTTAACTAATTCTCCAGAATATTCAGATACCCTTAAAAAACTGAGTTTTTTAAAAAAAACATTTTACCTAGTAAAGTTTGACAATCTTTCAAAAGATAACCTATCAAATAGATTTTTACAATTTAAAAAATCAACAAAGTTTCTACGGGTTTTAAAGTTTTTCTAGGCCACTGGTCATCCTGATTGGAAATTGTAGAAACTGTAACCAAATATTGTTCAAAAAGCATAAGCTTATGAAAAGCCAGCCCAATGAGTATTTTTAGCTGAAAGATTAAAGACAGAAGTGATTATTTGAGACATTATACCCATACCCTTTGTTCATCTTGGTGAAAGGCTTCTGATAAAGCTTTGAGGTAGATGCAATAAGACAACTGTAGCCCTTCAAGGCAAATCTGGCTAGGAAACCATTGCCATATAGGTCAGTATTACTTTTATGAAAAGCTACATAGTCTGAATGTACTTCCCTCTTCTCTCCCTTTTATTTTCATGAGAACTAGAAAGGGTTTAGTCTGAGATGTTTACTCAAGTTACATTGCTGTCCTGGATTCAGTCCTCTTTTATCTGATCATTGTCTTCCTCATGTCCCTCCAGGCTAATCCCTTTGCCCTCTATAGACAATAACTACTTTCCTCAAGGAGCCTCACCTGGTGTTCTCTTTGGGTTATTTTGGACACCAGTCAAAAAGAAGGTTATTCAGTTCAGCTTTTAAATTTGAAATGTGCCTTCTCTGTTGGTTGGGCAAAGGGCAACATATGGACATCCAGATGCTGTTCGAGCAGAATTCCTATCACCTTTCAACATTGATTCTGCTGGCTAGATTGATGAGAGGGTTCAACATCTGGGAAGAACCTCTGAGAAGGTAGCCCCTGTCTACCATAAAAGCAGAAGCATGCTCTAACAAGTGAATAACAGAAGTACATTTCTGACAGAAAAGCAAGGAAGACATCCTTAAGCAAGTAATCTATGGCTACTTAAGAGGAGAAATTTCAGGGGCACACTGCAAAAGATGTCAAAAACGATCATAAATACCAAAGGACTGCTCAACTTTAGCTACCAATAAGTATTCAACAATTCAACATTCAAAAGCAATATTCACAAAATGTTATGTTTTGCACATTTTATCACTGATCCATGTAGAGTTTTAAAGAAGAATGTGTTTTCAGGAGTAACAGTGATAGCATCAAATGAGAACTTCAGATAAAAACTCTTTGCCTCTCTCGGGTTATAGTATGACCAAAATAGTATGAAGGCCACATTACCTTCTTGAGAGGAAGGGTGGGATCAAAACATGAAATCCAAAAAGAATTAGGATCTGAGTTCTTATGGGCAGACTCCCCAGATAGTTGCAAGCAAAGTGGGAGAAGGTGGAAATAATTAGAGGTTTGCTTACACAAAACTGGAGCCTGTGAGAACTTTACCTAAGCCTGAATTCTTTTTACCATCTTCCTCTTATTCTAGAACCTGCTGCTGGATTCTGTGGGCAAGCTTGGAGAAGGGCGATGCCAACAAATCAGAGCAAGGAAACTCCGTAGAACTAAGCAACCAGGAATTATCCTTCTTGCCCGGTTGCCCACAAGCTTCTCAAAGCCAAGGGGAGTTTCAGCTGGCAGGGACATCTGCTCTTCTGTTTAGCCTGACTCACTGCCTGGAGTCACACCTGTTGCAAAGACCACCCTAAGGTATTGGATTAATGTTTCCCAGGGCACAGGCTTATCTGGAGCAAGAACCCAGAAGAACATGGATTACAAAAGGCTACACTGCACAGCTCAAAAGAGTGACCTTCATTCTCATAAGGTTGGTCCATGTGGATAGAGCAATCCACAACTGCTCTAACCAGCTAGCCCCTGCTGGGCCAGCAGCCCCGAAAATCAGGGGGCAGAACATATTTAGAAAGGAGGATATCTCCCAGGCCTCCCTCGCTATTCAGCAAAATAGGGGTGTACTCATATAGGCAGACCATCATGAGTCTAGGGTGGATGTTGGGCCAATAGACAACAGCCATATTTAGCTATGAGCAGCAGCAAATGGGGACTGCTGATTCATTTTCCCTCATCCCAATTTTGCAGAGAGGAGTCACAAGCCAAATTCTCTTGGCTGCAGTTTCATATCCTGAGGTCAAGTACGGCTCTTTTGGAGTCTACACAGTGAACAACATGAACAAAGTCTTTCACTCTGCCAATCAGCAGGACAGGTAATTCTTGACTTATGACCACAATTGGGACTGGAATCCCATTGTAAGTTGTTGTGGTCACGAGTCAGATCCTTTTTTTAAACATTTTTATTGCAATCGTTAAGCAAATCACCATACTCATAAAGCGAATCCAGTTTCCCAATAGGCATTTTTGCTGGAAATCAACACCAAAAATTGCAAATCATGATTACATGAGTCAGGATGCTGAATCTGTCATGAATGCAAGCTGACCACTAAGCTCCTGAATTGCGATCATGTGACTGCGCGGGGTAGTGGTGATGGCCATAAGTGCAAGGATGGATCGTAAGTTCTTTTTTTCTGAGGCTGTTTTAACTTTGAATTATTAAACAAACGGCTGTAAGTCAAGAACTACCTGTCTAGAGGAAATTCACCTGCTGAGCTGGCTGGAAACATAAATAATGACTTGGGATGCAAAAGAATAGAGCCACCAGATTTTGCACTTCCTTGCAATAAGCTACTTCTCAGACATTTTCCTCTTCTGCAGCTGTAGCTGACACCACATCACACTGGGAAATCTCCTCATTCCATCATTGGACTTGCTTCTTTTTACTCCCAGACCAAATATTGATTAATCTGATTCTGATTCCTCCTTGATGAAACCAACAAGTATGAAAATTGGTGGCATTTTTCAGGAAGAACTGGTCAGATGACTGGTTTCAGAGTGTCATCAGAGCTGAATGGAAGCTTGTAATCATGTTCCCTTCCCTGAGGTCAAGGGTAATGTAAGCAGTTTTGATGGCGGAATACGCAAGGTATACTTTTGGACAGACACTAACAATCACAGGTTTGAAAATAGGGGCAGACTGACCTTGAAGAAAAGGAGTTGGTTAGCAAGGCATGACAGATGCAGGATGGAGGCTGCAGTCCGGACAGCCCTATTTATATACTGTGTGCTTTTTAAACACACAGTGAAAGCTCTATTGTGTCTCCTGCCTTCCAAAGGTTGAGGCATACCAATGGCTACAAAGACATTCACTTAAGAACAGAGGTGGCCCAGAGCCAGGGTAATGGTAAAGGGTTAAGGTACAGGGTGAGGAACCCACACAGTGATAAGTCAATAATGGCCATCTCACTACTATCAAGAAGAAGCTCATTTTTTGTTTTGTTTTTTAGTTGAGGAGAAATCAGAAAAAAATCATTTATCATTTTAGGGGGACAGAACATTCACAAAATTTGAGAACTCCCAGGTAAGGATAATAAAAGCTAAAGGACAACCTCTGAGGATATGAAGCTAGTAAGGCAATTGTACTAGATCCTTTTTAGTTCTTTATTAAAATAATCTGATGCTGGAAATGGGTATGGATAAGAGGGAAGATTTTATGTCATTCCACCAAAATACAAGCTTCCTGCTGAAGACAAAATCATGTGTCTTCTTTTTGCAGGTGATCCAATTCAATGTTAAAAATTAGGGGAAGTTTGCATGGGAGTATTTAATTTACCTTTGCTTTATTGTGTAATTTATTTACACAAACCTTGATGGGTTTGTTATTTTCTTTATTCCTGTTTTACTAACTTCCTGTAGGAAAGTATTTTGTATTTCTCATGCATTGCTGTGTCAGACCTGCAACCAATGCAGTTGCTGCTTGAAATGCATGTATTAATAAATGTAATACAGTATTTCCATTCGTATAGCACAGCAAAATTGCATATATATTTATGCATGCAAAGTTGTAGTTGTATAACTAGTAGGCAGAAATTGAAATACCATGTATACTTAATAATTGGTATTTACAGCACAAGTGGATGTCACAAGCCATAGTACAGTGCTGTAATCTGGAATGAGTGGGAAATCGCACTGCTATTTCAAATTGTTTGTAGTTTCTTTCTTTTTTCTTTTTAGTTCTACTAATGTAGATGCATTTGCACAGCTGTGCAGGAATACAGTATATAAATAGTGTGGTGGTTCGCAACTGCTCAGCTAGAAAAAAAAATAAGTCTCAAAGTAAAATTCTCTGTCTGTAAACATCAATAAGCTATCTGGAATCAAAGGAGTAAAATTGGAAAAATTGGTTTTAAGCTTTTAAAATGATTCACACAGATGAAAGTTACACTGTCATTTGGCTGGAATTTATATAACATGCAATCCATGGAAACAACAAATAGTGGTGAGTAGGTGCATATTTATAGTATTCTGCAGAAAAATAACTATCAAGGGAACAATAGCATCAGGAGAATGTGTTGGGAAGTACCATTTGAGAAAAATCAAACACCACAGTTCTAGGATAAAATATTTGTGTCAATTACTTCATTATTTATTTTTGCTTTTAGTTGTAAGACACTTTACAGAGTTCCACTGTGGTAGTGAAAAGAATAATGCACCAAATGCCAAATCTAAGCCCAAACAGAACTTTCTCTGCAAGATTTCTAAAGAAATAAATAGGAAATATAAGAAACCTGCAATAGAACTGGCATGAATTAATATAAGCTTATTGAAAACTATACATCTAGGATCCTGGAGTTGCCACAATTCATTAAGACTGCAACTCTTAGAATGTCTGTGAATTTTTATGGAATATCCAAAAGGATTATTTCATTACTACAGAGGAGACAGATTTGTGGACAGTGCAATGGAAATTACTGTTTTCATATGTACATTTCCATGTTTATGGAAATCTCAGTAGAATGCTGCTGTCAGTGGCTTCATCACAAAAATATATCCAAACAAACCTAAGAACATTAATAAATGTTGTAGAGTAGGTAAAACATTGATCTGCACCGAAGGATATTATCTATTATTTCTGACAGATAATCGTATCTGTCAGGGTGATTCTTGCATTCACAGAATCATCTGATTTTTACAGTCACCAATCACTGAGAAGTATGTATACCAATAAAAATGGAAGTATTCCCATTACCTTCAAAGTAAACATTTGAAGATCAAATCTAAGTCTATGTATATTGATGCCATCCATCAATATATCATATTCATGGGTACTACACCCAGAAAGAAAAAATGACAAATTAAGGTGGCAGGTTTTTTTAATGCTGTGAATAACTCAGAGAGCCAGGTGGAACCTAACTTAGTCATGCATTTCAAGTTATACCCTCAGCAATGGGTAATATATTTCATCTAATCGCAGCATGTAACCAGTTGCAGTAAAACTGCTGATTAGCTGCTTGTAAGTCATATCATCAAGAGTAGGAAAACAAGCAACCAGGATGTTTAGCAAGTGGGAGGGAAAATAAGGATAAAGAGGAAGAGATTTCAGCAGTATAGACAGGATAAAACAATCAAAATAATGTGTTCAGTATGTATATAGAGCTGTTTCTGTTGGAAAAAATCACATGTCAGCAATCTCCTCTTTAATTATTATTATTAATATACATATACAGTTCACTGCTACTCAGTGAATCTTAGATTCAACACATTAAGACAGGGCAATTAAGTATCTTTAACTCTGGTTGACATTTTGAAATAACATCAATATTTCTTTATACAAATAATGACCATCTATAAATATTCATTTGAGAAAATGCCGAAAATGTGCTTGATTACTCTGTGGTATGCCAGCATAAAAATGAAACGAATTGCTAAAGTGTGGGATTCAATAATAATGAAGAGCATACCTCTGTGTGTGTGAGAGAGAGGGGGGGAGAAGGGGAGAGGGAGAGAGAGGCGGGGAGAGAAGGCCTGTATAAAACACTTAAAAAGACGTTTTGCAGTGAGTGTTAAGGTGAATAAAGAACCTCACATGAAGCAGCCATGGGACTAGCAAAGCTCAGAAAATTGCTCAGAAAGCTGCCTCCAGATGTTTCAGTTTGTGTGTGTATGCACAGAACCTATTTTCCTGAGACCACCATTGAAGCAATGTGGCAGTGTGTACACATAGAGGCAGCAAAAGTGTTTTGAGCACTCCGCTCTTGCCAATGATACTGTTATTTCAACCATTAAACTTAAGAGGTGCTTCCCGGGTGTCAAAATGAGCTGCAAAGCCTGTGTTTCAAATGCCTTCCATAATATACAGAAGCCCTAATAATATATATGTCATCTGGAGAGTAGGTATAAGACTGATATAATAAGCAGATTTAAGATCACACTGTGGAGGGGGGGAAGCCTGAAGAAAGCATATGGGCAGAACCAGACATCATTGCAAAGGTCAGGTTGTCTCATGTCAATATCTTCCACTTTGTAAATGTGCAATGCAATCTAGCTCCATGATATATCATCATCATACTGAACATTTTTCACCCTTGCCCTTGGCAAGCCATCATGTGTTGAAACAGTGTAATTAACATCTGTAGGCAAATGAAATGATATTGCAAAGTGGCATGTAGCTGCTTTCAGATTCATGTTTTAATTATGGCTTCATTCAGGTATAACACCAAATGTGTGTGAGCTTCAGCCTCATGTTCTTTTTTCACTGGCCATAAAATGACCCCAGACAAACCAGTATGAACTTGGGATTATTTCCATCAATTACACCTTAGATTAACTGTAATATATTGTGTTCAGACCCAACTGCCAAATTGTGATCATAAACAGAGGAAAAACTTCTGATAGACAAACACATACATAACTACTGTACTGAGACTTTAATAAGCTAATTCACAATTAAATCATGATCTAATAGAGCAATAGCAGTCCCCGAACCCTAAAGGAGACTCCAATGATGCATAAAACAATCCAGGATCATAGGCTGCCCACTGATGCCTCAATGTTATGTACAAATACAGCTAATATTTGCACTTATTTGCACAAGCATCAAAAAAACAAAACATATTCCTAACAAAAACAGTAATAATGCACATTAGACAACATGCACTTGGTGTCAATCAACTTCTTATTTGGATTAAATATTCTAATGTTTATTGTTTAAAAGGAAAGATTTCACGCACCTACACCATCTGGTAACATTTCAAGGATATTTTGAGAGATGAGGAGGTCAGTTAAAGAGGTCAGGCCATTTATCTCTTCAGGTAGCTTTTCCAGTTTGTTTTCAGAGATATCCAGACACAGCAGGTTTTTCAGGTTTCCTATTTCCTACAAAACAAAAGACAAAGTCATGCCTCAATGTGCAAATGCCCAGAGATCTGACATATGTCCAATTACAACATTCCTAAGGACAAGACTACAAATCCTCCCTGCTGGATGATAACACACTTGTGATGATATCACAAGTAAATCACCAATAAAATCTGTATGTGCGACACCTAGCATGGGCCAACAATCTGTTAGTATAATTTCGGACTTTAAGGGTTCATTAAACCCACACCCAACTCTTAGTCCTGGCTCAAGGTTCAACAGTTCATCCTAAAAAGGTGCTTTCATAAACAATACTTTGCCAAAGAAAGAACCAGCATAATGTCCTTGCCCCAAAACAACTTTGTCAGCTTTAAAATGGAGACACAGATAATGAAGATGAAAAGGTGCTAACATACTGAGAATAAATGTGTAATGGAAAAAAAAACTTTTTCTAAAATAACAGCATACTAAGTTTTAAATGCTTATATTTCAATAAGCAGGTGAGTTTAGTTGCAAAGATCCAGGAAGTATCTGTTCTTACCTGAGGTATTTCCGCCAACTGGTTTCCATCTAACCAGAGGTCTTTAAGGTTAAAAAGTGCACCTATAGTTCCTGGCTGCAATATATAAAAGATAGGATGCCACAATAACCATTAAACAATATAGTACAATAACCCATAAAGAAATCCAACTTCATTTTATTTCACCCAAAATAGCCAGTTTTTTTTTTCTGCAAATAAATAAAGTTAAGCAAAACAAGAAAAGAAAAGAACATTGCCATTCCCTGTTAGCTATCCCCTGTGTCATTATTAGATTAGGGACAGGTAATGTGATGCCCTTTGGAATACTGAGTGACACTCCTAACTGTTAGCCTAATTAATCTAAGGTAGTCAATTGTACAAATCCTTCCATAGCTTCACACCTACTGTGGCTTCATTCAATCAGAAAAGTCAGCTATTTCCCATAACTACCACATATTTAGCCCAAACTATGGAAAGAATCCTTGTCCTTTTTTATCAAACAGTAAGATAATTTAAGCAGGATATTAAGGAAAGAGACCCTCTGCAAAGAAAAGGGATTCAAAGCTTATTTGGAAGACCTAAAGGAGGTTAAGGAGGCACCTATTCCCAGTAATGAAGAAGCCACAATGGAGGAAGAAAGCACTGTTCATTGTCCATGATATGGACACAATTAATGAGACAACTTTAAAAAGAATGGGAGACAGAATGGGATAAACACACCTTGGAAGTAACTAAAGACATAGCAGATATATCTGAGCAAATGAATAAACAATTTATGGAAATGTCACAGCAAGTAGCAGATGTACTTAAGTAATCAACAAAGCTTATGATATGGCTACAAGTAATCTAGAGATAAGCAAGGCTTAAAAGAGTATTTCTGAAATAAAGACTGAATTAGCAGATTTACAGGAGGCATAATTTAAGGATCAAAGGAGTATCAAAGAAAACTGGAGCAACCCATTTGGCTGCTTATCTCATTTCTAAAATTAATGGCCTGAGCTCTGACTTGAACCTAAGGGATAAAGCTACTGAATGTGCTCATTGGGTTTATTCTCTTGGGAACACACAAAAACCTAGACACATTTTGGTCATATTTGTAAATTCAACATAGAAGATAAAATTATAAGAAAATCACATGAACTGGGGGAGATTAAAAGGGACAACGAGAAAGCATCCTTCTTCCAAGACATTGATAGCAGTACAATGCAGTGAAGAAAGGAATTTAAACCACTGAAAGAAAAAAGTATGCAGGACAAGTTTCATTATGAGTTGGGGATTTCCTTTTAAGTTACATAATTATTTTAAAGTCATAAAGAAGAAAAGTTATTTATTTTTATTGATGATGCTATAATCATGCAGAAAATTATATACATGGAAAAAAACCATCAAAATACTATCTTTGAAGTCTTATAAAAATTTATTTTTACAGATTCTATATTGATACAATATTCTATATTGACTGATCATGCAAATTATAAAGATTATATGTAAACACTTAAAAAATCTTTAAAAAATCCATCATAACTTTCACATTAACTATAGCTAATTCTCTTCCTGACAATGAACTGTTCTCAGATTCACACACAAACAAAGCCTTCAGTACAAGAAGATTACACATAGATCGTACATGTCTGCAGAGGAACATAATATTTTCTCTATGCAATTTTAAATAAAATAAAATCCATATACACAAACGTGCATATACACTTTTTAAAATACAAGAATTATGGCTAGGTATAAACAGCTTAATTTTTAAAAAGTACCATTGTTGGATTTTTTAAAATTGTTTTGCTAGGGTCTCTTGAGAAATATGCCTACACTGTTCCTGCAACCTAAGAAAAAATATGCTTTTATTTCAAATGTTTGCAGGAACCATAATGATTTGGGAAAACTGCAGATGTGGAGAAAGAGTTGGGTATCGTTTGTTTTTATCTTTTCAGTTCTTTTAATTTTCAAATCTACAGAGTAAATTGAACTACTGTCATTAGGAACCTAACCTCAGAATATATTTAGTTGCTGGGTACATTTTGTGGATATTAAGCAACAGCCTCTATTCTTTTTCGTTCTTTTACAGGTTGATTTCCAGAGGTACAGTGGTGGGAGGGAATGAGAAAGCTGAATATTTCTTGCCTAGATTTAAAAAAAAATTAATCTCTTCCTTGGGCATTTCTTTTTTAAAATGTTAATTTATAAGGATTTATTTATAGCACTACTCATTAACCAGCTTGAAACCCTGTCTTGGAGGATAGGCAAGATACATAGCAATATTAGTTGTTTGTATACATTGAATTGTAAAATATTTGTATTTGCTTTTTTTTAAAGATGGCCTAACCTATACTGTGCTGTGCCAAGGTTAGGTAAAAATCTAAGTCAATGGCAGCACTATCTCAGGCTAAATGGCACCAAAACTATAAGAATAAGAACTTAGAGAGAAATCATTTAAAAGGTAAAATTTCATTTGAGTCAAACTTGACTCTTTGTGACTTCATGAATATGACTGTATAATTTTCTTGGCAGCAATGCAGAAGCAGTTTACCACTGCATTCTTCCAGGATGTTTTCTTATTTCCTGGTCTAGTCTACAACTCTGATAATACCCCAGAGGCGCTTTCAAATATTAACCACGCCTGACCCTGTTTAGTATCCGTAAATATTTGCAGGAGGAATTTTTCTTGTACACACTTCCTTTTCTCTTACCACTGAAGGTAAAAAGGAGTAAAAACTCCAAAGCGCAAGTGGTTTAATGTTGATTTTAAAGTGAAGTATCACATATGATACACCCAGCAATCTTGGCTGATCTAGACTAGAAAGTTAAAAAAAAAAGTCAATCAAAACAACTTCCATAACATTGCCAAAAAAACAACCCTCTATAGTTACTTCTAGGTATAGTTGTGACCAGAAACCAAGAACAAGTCAAAGAATCTTTTTGCAAGTGTTCAGAAACAGAAAAAGTGGAAATAGAGTATTGGGCAACAAAAACTCAATAAATATGGGAAGGGCATTTTCAAAAGTGTAATAGTAGTCCTCAACTTATAACCAATAGTTTAATGACTGTTCGAAGTTAAAACAGCACTGAAAAAAGTGACTTAGACTGTTTTTGTCACTTATAATCACTGCAGCATCCCCATAGTCACGGGATCAAAATTTGGACACTTGGCAGCTGACTCATATTTATGACGGTTGCAGTGTCCTAGGCTCATGTGATCACCTTTTGTGATTTTTTTGACAAGCAAAGTCAATGGGGAAACCAGATTCACTTAACAACTGTGTTACTAACAACTGCAGTGATTCACTTAACAATTCTGCCAAGAAAGATCATAAAATGGGGCAAAACTCACTTAACAACTGTCTTACTTAGCAACAGAAATTTTGGACTCGATTGTGGTCGTAAGTTGAGGACTATCTGTCCTGAGTTGGTCTTCCAATATTCAATTTAACAAACCAGCAACAATGACCTTTTCTTCAACTCTCCTAGTTTTGTTGGTGAAATAAGCAAAACCTCTTTATTGTGCAATTGTAGAACAAGAACTCACCAGCACAAACAAGTTACTAGAATTGTTTTGAGTATGAACTGAAATGACAATGGAAGCATACATGGGTACAGGAATGCTTCCTGCTGCACTCACATTGTAAGTATGGAGACATTTTTTTTCATTCACACCAGTGTGAATTACCAGTGTGGAGAAGCATCTCACTATTATTCCTGCGTTGGGCTGAACATGGAAATTTATTGCCTGAACAAGAGCAAAGGGCTTCATAAAGAAGAAACTATATAAAAAAACATTTACGAGGATGGCTATTTTAGTAAAATACATGAACCATTATTCCTCCAGAGTTTCTACATAGTTGGGTCAATTACACCCTATCTGTATAACAAGTTTCAAAAACAGTATAGGCAACGTTAATTGCACATTCTTTTAAATTGGGTTTATCTTTTTTTTTTATTTTCCAAAGAAAATAAAGAATCATACATATGAGGGGGAAAATACGTAAAAGAATTTCCCCCCAAAATGCTCCAGAGTATAATTTTAAAGCAACAAGTGCAACTGGATTCATGCTTTCAGAATGTCAGCCATAGAATGATGGAGGAAGAAGAGGAGGAGGAGGAGGAGGAGGAGGAAGGGAGGGAAGGGAAGGGAAAAGGAGGAGAGGAGAGGAGAGGAGAGGAGAGGAGAGGAGAGGAGAGAAGAGAAGAGAAGAGAAGAGAAGAGAAGAGAAGAGAAGAGAAG